ATCACTGGACGGATGATAATTCGCGGTCATTTTCGGTATTTTTTGCTTTCTTTTCCTCCCGCTTGCTTCTCGCTTGTTCTTCCTCCTCCTGGCACTATTATTTCTAATCTGTTTCTAATGTTTGTCGGTTATTATGCTTTTTACCTTTGACATAGTGAAATTTTTCAGATGCATTGAAATTTTTTGGATGGACGGCCGTTCTGCGCGCAACTTTTCTTGTTTTCGAGGTGGGTTTTTCAGGTTCCCTGCAGTTTTGGTTATCTTTTTGATTCTCATCAATCATATTGTGTTTAGCTTGGTCGGCAGTTCAGCAGTTCAGTAGAAACCTTCACCTGTACGGTAAGTAGTTTTTCTTTGTTCCTATTTTCTAACTGTGTTGTTGAAAGAGAACATAGTAAACTCAAACATAACCAATGACACGCACAATTAGAAAACAAAGAACAAAGAGAAACTACTTACTGCGCAGGTGAAGATACTGAACTGCCGGCCAAGATAAACACAATATGATTGATGAGAATCAAAAAGATAACCAAAACTGCAGGAACCTGAAAAACCCACCTCGAAAACAAGAAAAGTTGCGCGCAGAACGGCCGTCCATCCAAAAAATTTCAATGCATCTGAAAAATTTCACCATCAGGGTAAAAAGCATAATAACTGACAAACAATAGAAACAGATTAGAAATAATAGTGCCAGGAGGAGGAAGAAACAATCGAGAAGCAAGCGGGAGGAGAAAGAAGCAAAAAGTAACCGAAAATTGCTGTAAAATAGCTAAAATCGAATCAGTCGCGCTACGCAATCGGTCGCTACCACTAGCGGTGCGATCGCGAAGTCTGAACGCTGCCTTATGAGAGTTCAAGACAGCCTATGTATAAATCGGGTCAGCGGCTGGAAGGCGGAAGAGTAGGTTCTGGCTATCGCCGTGTATACGCCCTGCTTTGCAAACTTAAAGGCAGCGCCCACGTTCACTTGATGTTCCTACGCCCTTTCTGGATATCATAGCCCTCCCCATAAGGATGCAGTATGTACTAGTTTTGCATCTCACAAAGGCGAGAGGATAGCGCCTATCGCTAGTAAAGAGTCGACCGCCCCGCCCCACCTGGCGACCACGACGCCCAACTTCATTTCTAATGGTTGCCTGATGGTGCGGTTGTTCCATTGCTGCTTCTCTCCATGTCGTGGAGGTGATAAGGAAAACAGCTGAAATCAACAAGTGAGAACTCGTGCAACCACTCCTTCTCTTCGCCTTAAGCACGTACAACCGCTATTCGGTATGAAACTCCTTACAGGGCATTTTGCATGTTTTCTTTTGATTTTCTTCGCTAATAGGTTTCTTGCTACCTTGCTAACGCGGGCACTGCCTTTACCTGTGACCATTTTACGACGATGGTTCTTTATTCCAGGTACGGGTATTCAACAGGAACTGTATCCGAGAAGAACATCTATGCCGATATCCGTGCTGTTTATGATCATATCCGCCGAACTCGGCCAAATAAACAGGTCAGCACTGTGCTAGTACTTGCCGCACTAAATCGCAGTTCATCTTTTTTCCTGATGTCCAGCTGCCAGGGGGAGGCACAATAGCTGACACAAGAAAAGTGTAAACAATTTGGCGGCAGGGGAGGGGACTTTATCCTTTTACGGTTGCCATCGACGGTCGACTTATCAGGGCCATTTTGTGAGCTTGAGAGAGTTGATAGTTTTTATCATGATTTCTCGACCCAGCTGTGCTCAGCTTCACATACAGGGGGGCCAAAAAAAAGTCATTCCGGCCGAGTCACATATGAGCGAAGTTTTCGCAGCCCAGACAGAGGAAGTGGATATGAGTACCAGGGCGGAAGATACCCAAGATCTTCCTCTATAAGCAGGAGCCGGCTGCCATTCACCTTCATGTACACCAAAATATGAAGTCATCTCCAGTCGCGGCCTGAGTGGAGAACGCCTTTGGAATTCACGTGGCCTCCAAACAGCTGCGGAACTTCTTGAATGGAATCACCCATGGATAGCTACCTGGAGACCAGTACTCTTGATCTGCAAGACCTCAAACATCGAGCAGCTCCGGCAACGTCGCTACGGTCCAGGACATCATCTTCACCCCATTCACCAAGGCGCGGGTTGATGGTGTGGACCGGCCGTACCTGGAATGGGAAGACCGATATTTTCTTTGTAGACCCCGACTGAAGGTGAGCGCTGGCGGTTACATCAAGTAACTCGAGAAGGATATCCTCCCTACATGTGGTCGCCCGTACCTTCTTGGAGACCTTGTGCTGCTACAGGTTTGGGTGCCACCACATGGAATCGAAGGGTTTTGGAAAAACTCCCGCCTACTTCGAATGGAAGGGCGTTTCGTACCTGATGAAGATGTAATATTGAAATATGTCCCCTGACCTAAACCCACTCAATTACCTAGTTCGGGCGGAGCTCAACAGGGTGGTCTACAGTGGCGGAGAAATCAACGATCTCGCTCAACTCCGGTACCCACTCACTTTCGCGCGGCCGAATCTCTCGATGGCGCTCCTCCAGAAGGCTGTGGCGGAGTATCATTATAGTATTTAATGTGCTCTTTAATATGGTAGTAAAAATGTCCGATAAAAATTTAATAAAGTGTAACTTATAGCGCCTTGAAAGTCATGGAGGCAAAATGACTTTTTTTTGCCCCCCCCCCTGTAGTTTCGCATTCCCACCAGACAGGAGGCGCGAGACCTGAGGGACCCGTACCTGGAACTATTAGTAAAGTAGCGAAAGTGCAAAATGCCCCCCCCGCAAAGTGACCCTGTCTAGGGGCTGCCCAGTTCATGAAAAATAGTGGTTTATTCGCGAACAACCTGAGTGTTCCCTGCTGAACCAGTTCCACGTGACGGCAAAATATATGCTAGCGATTATGTACATTTCCGTAGTCGAACTACCTGGACTCTTCACTTCAGATTGTTCTGCTTGGATACAGTATCGGAACAACAGCAGTCATCGACCTGGCCGCTTCCCATCCTGAAGGTCTAGTCGGCGTTATTTTGGTAGCACCATTTACCAGTGGCTTGCGATTATTGGGTAATCATCCGCGAAAGGAGAAAACACCGTTCTTCGACAGATTCAACTCGTAAGCTATGACTTGTTCGGCGTTAAATATGCTCTAATGACTCAATATGAAATTTTCAGTGATTTTATCAAAAAAGTATTCACTCACCTCCGTGGGCACCGGTCTTGCTGTGTGTGGTGTGAACGGGCCGTAGCTGCGATAGCGTGCCCTTCTCCGGTCAAAAAAGGACGGGATGGGGACTGGAAGTCAGTGATACCCGGGTGCTGCTACAACTCCGCCTGCGCCGGCGTAAAACCATAGACACGCTTGACCATAGCCAAGCGCCCTACTTGTCTGCGCCCTCTCTTACCTGGTTGTTCTCTACCGCTGAGGGCGTGTTCCGCTGCGGGACCTTGATACCGACGAGCGTTGCAAAATGGGAATAATGCGGGCGGAGTACAGGGGCGAACGCGGGCACCAGTGTTCAACAGCTCCGTCCCCTACACTTTGAGCGAAGAAAGTGGCACGCCGTGGTTGCGTCAAGCGCGCATGCACTTCACACATGGCAGTGCCTGGAAGATGAGCGCACGAGGCGAGCGCAAAGGGTTTGTCTTTGATATAGCAAACAGCAAGAGGGTGGGTTACACAGCAGTGTGAATACGATTGTTGCCAGCAGGGGTGGGCAGAGTGGACACCTCCGAGCCAGCGAGAAATAGTGTTGTGCTGCGCCGCCATCTAAAGGCGCTATACAGCGCGCCGAATGGTGGAAAAATCACAACTGAAGGAATGTTCGAGGCCAAATGCGAGCTACACGTGGTTGCTTAGGTCAACAGCCAAAGTGGTCGTTTTAGAGATGAAGGCTCAGCGGGAGTCGCATTGTTGGAGAAATTTCCTCGCCACAACGATGAGCTATCACTCGTGTAGGGGGGGGGGGTATAAAGCGGTCATCACAGTCATCTGAAGATGCCTCCTCCCTACTAGTCATTGTACCGACCATGCCGCGCTCAAAAATAATACGTTTTGCATTATTGTCGTTAATGCCTATCGCGATATACTTTTTGGAATATTGGATTACTCTTGCACTGTACATAAAAAAATGTTGAACAGTGAAGCAAAATTCGATAGTCTCTTCTGGAGACAGCTTCTTTGTTGAATTTGTTAATTTACAGCTGGAGTAAGGTGTCGGATATCAATGTGCCGGTGCTGATATGTCATGGAGCACGAGATACAGTTGTTCCGTCGGAGCACGGTGTTGAATTGCATGAGAAACTCAAAAAGCCTGTGACCCCCTTAATAGTACACGGTGCAGATCATCAGTCTATTCTCAACGGTGCTTATCCGCAGACGTTTTGTCGAATTCACAGGTACGATCACGGAATCAGACCCATCAGCACCCGCTATCGGTGCGTCATGTGGGGGCGTTCCCGCGTACTCATGTTTTGGGGTGGTGCCGGCCAGTTCCTATTAGTCGTTGCCACTATGGGGCGATGAGCCGTTAATGGAAATAGGCTGGGGCTGTGCTGAAAAGTATGCACGTAGGGCAAACTCCAAAAGGCGCACCGGTAAGCACACTGTACATAAACAAAACCAAGATAATTCAGATTTCTGAAAACGGAAACCGAAGTCGATACTTTGAGTGAGGAGGCCCTGAACGATTTTGCCATCATATAAATATGTACATAACAGCATGTCGAACCGTTTCATGTACTAATATTTAAGCATAAATATTGCACAACTAAAGACTCGGTAACATTGAAGCCATTCTGTAAGGGAATTATTGTGGGAGGCCAGAGAAATATTATCAGCAGGTAATTCAACCATCGTTACTTTTGGAGAGCTTCACGGGGTAATGTGAAGACGTTCCTACCAAAAAATCGCCAGCGATTATAATTGGTTTGAGCACACATCTGCTATTCACAACAGGATTTATGACAGAAATCCATAACTCCTTCTGTGCAGGAGCTCGATGTAACGAGAACCTCTCTTGCACTTCCTTCATTTCAAAAAAATATGCCGCTGTTTTTTTCCGCTTGGTGCGTTTCAAATGCTTTTGTGAGGTTACTGCGTTTTATACCTGTAAACATCCGTTATTTTGTATGAAAAATGATAATAATTGCTTCATTTGTATTGTGCTCCACTAAAAGAATGTGGAGATATGAAAACTAGGTGGAACACTCATCATTCATCTCACGTCCCGACTTGGGACATCGACGGTTGACAACCGGCAAATGCGGTCATATGGCAGTAGAGTTTCTCCGCCTAAACTGTGGAACCGTCCATCTCCGCAGACTACGATTGAGTATAAACGTCAGGCCACGATATGGAAATGTATGTAGCATCTAAAAAAGCTCGCAAGTTTCCAAACTATCGAAACACAACTGACACTTGGAGCTTGCAAGAAGATAGAAGTTGTGAGAAGTAGTAATACTCACTCATTACACTCATTTAAAGCCCCACACGAGTTTGCATCAAGGTTAATTCCGCGCCAATCCTGTCCCTCGATCAGTGCTATAATTTAACCCATGCTCTTGAATTCGCATTAGTTATCCTTTATTTGTACACTCTTTGTCCCCGAGATGGCTGCGTATTCTGTGTGAACGTGGGGGCGGCTGCGCTTTTGGTGAGATAATTGTTTTGATATAATTGTACACATGAAGTATACTCGAGATCCCTGAGATCGGGTAGGCGTGGCCGCATGCTTCAACTTAACCTGAAGGTGTCTATGCTTCTGGTGAGATATTTTCATCTTGACACAATTGTTGTCGTGTCTCTGTCCAACACAGAACAAGATGACAGTTGTCCCAGACTGAAATATTCCACGAGTAACCAGTTCCGTGCCATGTTCAAATGCCACGCCTACTCTGGCTCAGGGATAAGGCGTGTACGTAGCCGCTGCTACTGTTCCCTGGAGATTTGAGGTGTGTGTAGAACGTATGTCGTGTTCTATTGGCTACTTGAGGTGGTATACGGCAGGAGAATGTTTTTGAGGGAGAACGATCCGAGAAAAGCCTTCCTAAGTCGGCGCATACACGTGCCCCCCATCCGAAAAGATGGAAAATGTGGGGGACAAGGGAGGTTTCGTTTTAGCATGGCGGCAAGGATGCTTTCTCTCCAATTGAAGATAGTGTTCATTTTGAAATGACTGTGATTACTGTCTGTTTCTTGCACAAAGCTGCGCGTGTGAACGTGGTACTTTCAACTGGATACTTTTCATTGTTGAGAAAATCGTAAGCACGACTAACTCTGTACGATCCATGCCCGCAGATGAAGAGGACGAGATGACAGTTACCGTCGTTGTGAAAGTGTGCAATACCACCTATATTCTTAGGGAACCGTGTTCGCTCATTGTTCAGATGTCAGTACACAGCCACGACCCTACCTCGTGCAAGGTTTTGGAGTGTCCAAGGCGTATAAAAACTGTGGTGGCTGCTTGTTTGCGTTGTCCGTATTGTCGAGGCCTTGGCATAGGAGAAGATCACCTCAAGCTACCGCAAATAAGTTCCGAAGGTTCCTCCATAGTCTGGGGAACCTTTGGAACTCACTTGCGGTAGCTGTACACATGCGTTTGCGTGGGAAAACGAAAGGCCTGCAGTTATTTTGATTTTGGGGGGAATAGCGAAATTTGCTCTCGGGGCACTTCGCTTGACTGAATCCTGACCATGGATTCATACGGCTACTGCCGCACTATTTCACACACAGACCCCCCCCCCCCAACAAGTAATGGATACCAAGTTGGGACCTCGATCCCAATCTGGCGGTATTGAGAACACTGGAAACTACTATTATGATCCTGTGAAAACGAATATCGTTTGGCGCTGGGACGCCAGTTCCCGTTCAAGGGGATTTGAAGGATTTTGAACTATCAAACTCACTTTAAATCCGTTTCAGGGCCTAATTTGACCTCCTGAACAGGCGCACCGTGTTCGCTTACCGGAAAATCCTGACAAAATCCTCGGTAAAAAAACAAGGCTAATTCAGGACTATGGCCACAACAGGTAAAAACTGCCTTCTTTTCTCTGCACTTGCTGCCCAATCCTACTAAACATTGTCTCCAATGGTGTTTCCTTCGAAAGCGACCCTAGAAATCGAGAGCCACAGCGTTCTCTCATGTTCCTCTGAAGTTTCACGCAGATATCATGAGATAGCTGGGAGTCGGATGTTGTCTGTTGTGTGTCCACAACGCGATAAAATCTACGACACCCTTTGGTATAGGAATCAGCCCAAAGGCGGGTTAACACAGAAATACCCCTGCTGTCCCATTGTCTAAATGCCTTGGCAAAAAATCGTCCCTAAGCCCCCTGTACTTCTGGCTATTCTATTTGCTATTGTATTATCTGCATATATTTTGCGTCAAGCCTTTCACGCGCGAACTGGAGCACAGACGTCATGGAGAACTGCGCAATATAGTTGGTTTTTAAGTTTTTAGCTTTTTCAAATCAGAATGATGAAATCATGGGATGCAACACCTAAATTCTATAAAACGTTTTTCTATTGTTTTGCCACAAATATTCACTAGTGACAATGAAAATATGAGTTTGATCCAAAGGAAAAGCAAAACTATGAGAAAAGAAGATAAAATGAAAAGATCGGCTTCAGTGAATCTCTTGTTCACGCGCCACACTTCTAATTTAAAAAAATAATTATGGGCCCTTGGAATTCATGAGCTTGCTTGATTCTTTGTGAAACAGTCCATTCTTGAGACAACGCCTACCTACCCCTTTTCACTGTCACATCCAAGTATACACTTCCCTCTCAACGTATATCTGACTGGACTGTGCCTTTCGCCCGAGTTCACCACTATGTTTTGGGAATTGCCCAATCGATATAATTGTTCACTCTGTTCCTGAGGATGCGATTGGAATTCGATAGCCTTGGAGAAGAACAGTCACTCCCCAAGTGAGGACACAGGGAACCCAAAGTAATATCAAATGAGTAACTCTTCGTAAGGCTACCTAAGGTAAGCAGCACTTCCCTGTAAAGGTGCTTTGAAAGCGTTGGAAATCTGTTTG